AAGGGGGGGGCCGGTAGGGGTTTGGGGGGAAAAAAAGTGTTTTAAAAAGGGGGAAAGGAACTCCGGTGGAAAAAACAGATTGGGGAAAACTTTTTTGACCCCCCTTTGCAAAATTAGAAAGGAAAGATTGCCCCCGGGGGTTGGGTCCTGGGGGAAAAATTCCCCCTCCTTTGGGGGGGGGGGGGTAAAGGGTTTAACCCTTAAGGCACCAAAAAAAAAAGGGTCCCCCCCCCCCCCCCCCCCCCCTTTTGTTACTTCAGGACCCCCACAGGTCGTCAACAATGCCGCACCCCACACGACGCGAAGAGTCAGCCTCAGGTCGACGATGCAGGTGGCCGGTTTGCACCGCAATCGACTGCGTCAATGATACATACAACATACATACAGCTATCTCCCGAAAACCATGCGTGGAGCGAAAGTTTGTTGGTCGTTTTTGCGAGGCAAGCTCCGGTCAGGTGCCCGCAAGCAGTGAATGAATGTCGTCTCCAGTACAAAAGCAAGCCTAAGCCTGTATGCCGGCCATGTGCTTGTTGTATGCATGCAGTTGTTTAGCGAATGAATGTATGTATGTACAGTTAGCGCCCGCGATTAAGAAACAATTTATGTAGAAACAAGACTCAATTTCTGCGAAAAAATAAGAAAATAGAGTAAAGAAACACAGCTCAATCTGGGCCAAAATACTATAAGAAACGTCTCAGCAAGAAAAAATCAGTAGCACCGCTAATAGCCTACTACATAAGAAACGAGGGTTTACGGGGGGGGTGTCGAATAAGAAACACCCCACACAGCTCCTAGCTCTCTCTCTCTCTCTTCCCCTCTCCCATCCAGCCACCATGTGCTAATCACCCTCCTCCCCCCCTCGCGTTAGTGCATATTATTTATTTTCTATTATTTGTTGTACAGCGAGGAGGTTGTTTTTCTTGCGGCGCTCCCTCCCCCACCCTGCCGGCTCTGGTGCTGCCTGGCACATACTATGCCGTGAGCCACGATATGCCGTCTTCTGTACGAGCGTGACGGCTTTCAAAGTTGAAGAAATGCAAAATTTAAGAAATTCAGCAGGAGGACTCTGCTGCACGACAAAATAAGAAAAACTTGACAACATACAATCGTAAGAAATTGGACAACGTACCCTCCCTGAGTTTTCAGCCCACAAAAAGCATTTCAGGCTAGACCAGAAATTGGCGTTTCTTTAACGCGGGCGGGCGCCAACTGTATGGTGCACGGAATGTATTGATGTCTGTCTGTCTGTCTATCTATCTATCTGTCTGTGTTCTGTCTTCTTCATGGTTCATTAATTAGTTACTGTGAATGGTAGCAATCCCTGAAGACCCTTCCTTGGTGAAGACTCACTCGTTGATTCATCTCTTTGGACAGCAGTGCATGCTGATTGCTTGCTCTCTGTGGTAGACTGAGCATGTGGGGGCAGACCAGCTCCCTCTAACAGGGGCTGCCAAGGTCCTGTCCCCTGCTTTACCCTTCAATCGGGAGTTACATCTCCCGCACTTTCCTCTGGGCATAGCCCGCACTACCGTTGGTACTTTACACATTCAAATCCCATAACACTAGCCCACCCTGGAGGTTCTCATACGCAGATACGTCTATCTCGGAACTATACAATTACGTGTCGAATTCGAAATGAAAGTATCGAGGATGCGGAGCTCCAAAATGCCACAATTCACCCTCCCACACCTCTCACTCGATGAGTCGCAAGACCATCGTTTGACCTCTAAAAAAAAAGAAGGTACAGGAAGGAACAAAGTGGGACAATAGAAAGGGAACCAAACGGGACAGCCGCAACAGGCGAAGGATACAAATACCATAACAGGTCGGAACCCAAGAGAAAGGGGAAAACAGGGCACGAAAGAAACGAAGAAATAAGCGTCGCCGGAGCGACGAAGAGGAACGAACGTCGTCGGAACGACGAAAAAAAAACTAACGCCGTCGAAACAACGAAAAAAAGGAACGTCGTCGGAACGGTGAAAAGGCCTGTATCGACAAAACGATAAGATACGCCAAACTATCACCACGGTAGCGTGGGAGCGACAACAAAGGTCACGAAACACCTACAGTCCGCAAACGCTAAGAAGAGAAGACGTAGAGACAAAAATACGCCGAAAACGTACAAGAGCACCACAACGTACCAAAAAGGCCGGAAACCAAACGTTTCGGAAGCGAGGCGAAAACGAAAGGGGACGTGACACCAAACAATAGTTGGGAAAACCTCGGCAGCGAACAGAGAAAGCTCGACCTGGCGGACTATAGAAGCCAAAAGAAAGAAACGAGAAACCAAAAACAAACAGACTAATGCTATTGTAAGAGCAACAGAAGGCAAAAAACATGCAATCTTAATGGGAGCGCACGAAGTCATCGGGCAATAAGTCCTTCGCTACGCCGCCACGCGACATGTCGATGTTGCGAAGAATATCCTTGAAAAGGGCGCTGCCGTTGTGAGCTTGGAGGCACCAGGATCCGGAGACGGCGGTTTCGACGGTGGAGTAGCGAACATCAGGAAGGGCGACCTTGACAGGTCCAGGGTCGTCCAAGAAGCGGACGACGTAGAAGAAGTCGGACAGTAGATGCGGTCCAGAAATCTTGCCCAACCACCAAAATCCATCGCGTGCTTTGTACCTGAAGAAGGCGCCAACAGGTAGCGGACGATTGACGAAGCGACGGTCCCATGTTGAACGAGGGACGAGCGAGTAGCCCGAGGGCAAAGCTCGCTCTTCGTTAGCGCGCGCCAATTTCCGGATTCAAATCCCAAAACATTTACCCTGATATTATTCCCCCTTGAAGGGACAAGTTTCAGCACACGACGTGACCAAGGATTTATATTATTTACGGATTTTTCGACGCGCCCCTCGAAGAATTTTGCACAGACAGACAGACAGGCAGGAAAGCCTCAAAATGTTCCTTGCCTTCCATACATGCATGCATATTATATGAGTTTTGTTTTAATCCCGCCTGACATCATTCAACACCTCATTGCGGGGAAAACGTTCCTATTCAGATACATATACATATATACTGTCTACATCCATCCATTCTAATCCCCCGCCACAGCGGAAACGAGATGCAATGATTGGGGTTTTCTCATCCATCTGACTCTAATGTGTGGAATTTTCCCCCCTCGGTGCTTTCCTTCCGATAAGAAATTCTCGCCAGGACCAGAGAGACACCTAGGGTGGGTGACCTACAGGTCCCACCGGGGGAGAGTAGTTGAGACGTTGAGATACGTCCTCTGGCATGCCTTCTAGTTTCCTCGTAAAGTAATATTTTTTCTTAATCTGTTCGTACCGCGGTCGGTGCGGAAGTACAGCGACAACATTTCATTTTATTTGTGTAGCTTTGTCAAGCACTCCGTCCGGTGTGCGATTTCTTCACGTTTTGTGTGATGATACTGATGATGAACAGAATTATATCACACGGTACAAACTTATTTCGGTATGTGTGCGCTGCCACACACACTGGAATACGCACAACATCACTGCATGCAGTCTACTCGATGGCATATCATGTATGTATGTATATATGATGTGTGACGAAAAAAAACGTTGCATCTCTTGCGGGTGTGCCTCTTGACCCATTCGCAAAAACATGCAAGCAACCCCACGCCCAGAAGTAAGTGCAGGTGTGGATCGGAGAGACCGTGCAGGGGTGGGTGCGATAGAAAATTAGCTTGCCAGGAAAAAATTGTGCTTGATGCAGGGGAGAGGTTTCCAGGTACAGGTAGGCGTGTGTTCCTAGACTCCGTGCTGGCCCCAGCCCAAAAATTTGCCGGTGTGATCCTGCGGACAAACGACGAAGACTGGGTCCTCCACACACATCGGAGTTTAGTTGTGCCAGGGGCCGCGTATTGGTGGGCTTTGTCATGGTGCGCATTTTGTTCAGCCGGCCGTGAAAGTTCACGGTAAACAAGGGAGGTGCGCACATGGGGTGCATGATGTGTACGCAGATGGTCATGGCTCTCCCGAAAGCAAGTTCAACGCGGTGTGGGCACAATAATCACTCAGTCACGTGTTCTGTCGATCTTACGCAAACATAATTGTTTGGGCTGCAAGTGGCGACATTTATTTCCAGGTGGCACAAGACAGCGAGGCATGCAAAAACAACAAGGCCGCTTCCCGAGCTTCACAAAAAGCATAAGCTTTCGGCAGCAAGATGCGCTGCAGAACTCGAGCTACCTGTTGATCTATGTCAGGTTCCATGGAAAGTGCTTTCACCTGGATGCGTATGCACGAACGATCGCGAGAGAGAGTTGAAGTTCCCAAAACAAATGTACGTTGACACGTAATTCCGTGTTTCTATTCCTAACGAATCTTTGCTTCCAAACACCCCGTAACCATTCAACCAACGAAAGAGTTTTCCTCATTAGTAGCAGAGGGCCCTCAATAACGCCGGTATGTGCCCGGGGTATGGACCTGCGCTATTCAGAGGGGCCGGCACTACCATTCAATGTACAGAATTACTTGGTGATTCAACCTGTGCCCGGCAGTTTCACCGGCGCTATATAGGGCCACCGGTGTAATCCACCGGCGTTAGTCATTGACGCCCTCCCACTGAATCGCTTTCTGTGGCCGTCAACAAGAGAAGCAGGATAGATAAAGAGTGGTACACTTGGTATCATACGAGTATCAGAGAAAAAAGCGAAAAATAGACTATTCCGGTCCGTCGAATTTCGATCGGAAGAGGTTTCGGCGATTTCGGCCGTATGAACGAAAATCCCTATCAGCTGGACAACCTTCCCATGCAGATATTTTCCTCTACACCATGTCCGAGGACCTGATTGTACGTCAAAGTAAACCTCACTGCGTGCACAGCAGTAGCGTCTTCCCAGAATATGTTTGGCCGTTGAAGATTCTCTGCGGATACATGCACTCTAAAACAACAACACGACCCAAGCAGGCAAAGATCAAGGCACCCAATGGTCCAGCGATGTGATGACGAATATCTCCTCCACCCACAATCAAGATGGCAGAGCTCTACGAGTAACGCTACATAGATAAAACACGTTCCTTCTACAGTAGTACATCCAGCAAAATAATGTCAAAAGCCTCTGAACATGTCGACGGAGCAAGCACATATATCACCGGCTCTTCCGCTTCTTACTTTCCTTCTTCCGTTCTCTCTTGTCCAACTTCGCATCGCCGACTTGGGCACGCGGAATGTCCTCGCCATCACCTCTCCGAAGCTCCCCACTTTCCGGGCCTTTTCCCGCCGTTGTCGTATCTTGGCCGACGACATCTGTTCTGAGGTGGTTCTTCTTCCTCTTCTTTGTCTCCTTTGGCCGCTCGGTCCCTTTCGTGCTCGCTCGTTGGGAACCTGGACAAGTATCAGCAACGATACTGCTGTCTGCATCCTTTCCTCTGTTTTTCCTTTTCTTGTGCTTCTTCTTCTGGGCGTCGCCACCACCATCACCGGGTGGTTGTTCCGACCTTGCAACTTCGGGTCCTGATGATTCTAGTTGTGCGAGATCTTTTCGCCGCCGCCTCCGCGTTCCCTTGGAACCGTCACCGGCGGTGTCCACGCCATCCTCTGCTGTTGCGGTCTTCCTTTCACCCTTTGGTGTCCCTACGGTGTTCGCTTCTTTGGCGGATGAACCGGAGTTACTACCCTCTACGCTCACTGCCGTGGCATCGTTAGGTGCCTTGGCATTGCTTCCGGCTAACGTGGAAGCTCCAGGGATAGACGCTGGGGCGTTCGCGGTGGTGACGACTCGAAAGGGGGTAGAGTCAACCACGTCCCCCGCAAGGGCGCAGGCCGCAATGAACCCCTGCGCGCAGAGTACACGCACGCACGGGAGAGGACGGACGGTTCGCAGACAATAACAGCGAACCCCAGAGAGCGGCGGGAGGCGGCGGCGGCGGCATTGCCGACAAAATGGGGGCGGGAGAGGGGGGTGACAGCAGCGTTATCTCACGGTATGTGTTGCGCAAAAGCGTGAGCACGCTCGAATAGGTCAGAACAGCGACTTTTGGCACCACAAGCCCGAGGATTCAGCAGCACCGATGTTCTGTTGTGACCAGCAGGAGAGCTTCGGGGGGGGGGGGGGGGGGGGGG